AGAGAGAGAGAGAGAGAGAGAGAGAGAGAGAGAGAGAGAGAGAGAGATGAGCGATCCAAGATTGGTTGTCACTTACCTGTGAGGCGAGTTGTGTGTTCCAGTGGAGAAGGAAGATAGCGGCCATAGCCGCGGAGTATCAACACAGGGTATTGAAGAAGAGAGAGAGGGAGGACAGAGAAGGAGGGACTGAGGAGAGAGAGAAAGAGAAGTGTGGAAGGAGGGATACCGGAGAAGAAGATGGACATAGCCGGGGGTGAACAAAAAAAAAAAAAAACAGAGAAAGTGAAGAAGAAGAAGAGTGAAGGAAGGGGAAGTAAGCGGCGAGGGTGATGAAGGTGAAGGTGCCGGCAGCCATAGCCGAGGTGAAGGGTGGACCGGGCGTTGACCAGAGCGTTGACCAGAGGGTTGACCAGGGGTTGACCAGAGGGTTGAGCAGGCGTTGACCAAGGGTGTTGACCAAGCGTTGACTGGGGGTTGCCCGCGTTGACTGAGCGTTGACCAAGGCGTTGACCGGAGCTGCTGACCAAGATTTTGACCAAGCTGGAGATGGTGATATCTCGCTGAGCCCTTAGCCTATCCCCTTACCCTGTGGATGTGCACCTACCCCACGGTACTTGCTGGGCCTGTCTGTCTACTCTTTCTGCATTGAGTCTCTTCTATCCTAGGTGTTAAGGATAGGGCCTTGCTGCCAAACCTGCACGGGACTTAGTAGGACTAATCTCTACCCTGGTATTTGGAGACCTGGGCATGAGCGGCGAGCGTAAACAACTCGTCTAGCCCAATGATCGGTACTGTCCGGCAGGTCTACTCAGCTTCAGTGTAGAGGGTCCGAACTCCGAGCTGTAGGCTGAAACGAAGGCCGTCTTTAAGTGTTGCGGCCTGGTTGAACCACTCCCCTACCGGACCTAGTAATGCTGACGATCTGTGTTTGACGACTCGACTGTCCTGAGGGATACGAACCCCTCCAAGGACCGGTACAGACCGGCAGGCTGCTCGGTGTGGCACATTAGGCCGGAACGGCTGAGTTGTGGGCTGAAATCGCCAGGAAGAACCAAGCTGATCACGCTGTCTTGTCTGCGACGTTAAAGAATTCTTGCGGAGTTTGGGGGATCTCCTTAAATGCCTCCAGATCGGCTTTTGGTTAAGTAGTGACAGGCTTAGAGTAGTCTTGGGTTAGTGACCATAGTTGACAGGGTCTTACATTGTGGTCCTTAGAGAGTCAGTCAGTAGGTCAGTGTGTCCGGGTAGGTCTAAGTGGTGAGGAGTGGGACATTGTTGTGCACCTAACACCACGATGGATGACTATCCGATGTATGGGTTGCTTGTTGGGTGCTCCCTCTGGGGGACCCTCTGGCGCCTCCTCTTCCCTCTGGGGTTCTGGCACGCGATGACGTGTAGAGTAGATACCCGGGGTGGTGCTTCCACCAAGTCATATTCGAAGGAGGAGGAGGAAAAGATGGCCGCCATTCTGAGAGAGAGGAAGGAGAAGAAAGAGGCCAAGAAGAAGGCCCTACAGGAGGAGCAGGCGGCCAAGTTAAAAAAGATAGAAGAAGAGATGGCTAGAGAGAAGGAGAGGTTAAAGAAAGAAGAAGAGAAGTTGAAAGAGGTGGATGAGGAAGAGGAGGAAGATGAAACGCCACTGCAAAGAAAGAGGGGGCAGTACAGTGGCAATAGGGATGATGAGATGGAGAAACGGATTTCAGAGTGGGTTGCCAACTTGTCCCTGGGCGAAGAAGAAGAGGTGGCGATGTATACACCCAAGGATGACCAGGAAGCCGCTATGAAAGCGTGGGCAGCCGAAGGAGATGTCATCAAGCGACAGGCGTTGGAAGATGAGAAGAGGATGGAGTGGAAGTTGGCGGTGACGATGGAGAAGAAGAGGAGAGTAGGCGCGGCAGCGGAGGCGCCAGAAGAATTAGAAGAGGTACAAAAGATAGAAGAGCAATTATCCGCCCAGACCGAACTCCCAAACCAAATGCGAGTCATAGCCCGAAACGTTGCACACCTGGCACGAATTCAGGCGGAGCAATATGACTTTAGTAGGAGTCAACACATAGCTGTGCGTTCAATAAAGTTGGGATTCCGGGACTTTGCTCGTGAGTTGGTAGGCGCTATAGGCATCGAGGTGGGTCCGCCTCGAGAAGACTGAGTGGTTCTGTGTCGGCGCCATTGAAGGCGTTAAAGCGACAACTCCCAAGGAGGAGGAAGCACGTCCTCCTTGCCGGGAGCCGGTCAAAGTCAAATTCCCTGATTCCTACAGTGGGAAACGGGAAGAAAACTTTGACAATTGGGAGGCCAATGTGAAGACCTATGTGCATCTGCAACAGGTCTCCCCGGATCTGCAGGTCCTAATTGCGATCCACACGCTTAGAGATGAGGCCGCCAGCTTTGCAAGGTCCCTAGTTCGTGCTGCCAACTGTAGTGACGATCCAGTTGCGTACTCCTCGTTCACGTCCCTCACTGAATTCTTGAAGCTGCTGCGCGAGCGATTTGCTGATGTCGCTCGTAGTGTTAAGGCCTCCGACAAGCTCCAGACGATCCATGCCCGTAAGTGGAAGAGTGCCAGGGCACTCAAGAGCACAATGGACGAGTTGGTAGCTGTCCCTGACCATGGGGTTACAGACACCCAGTTGGTCGCCCTCTTCTATAGAGTGATGCCCGAAGCTTTTCGCGGGCACTTCTTCGCGAAGAGCGAAGACCCTGCCACCACTTACGATTCCCTTAGTCGTGAAGTGGTGGCCTTTGAGGCAAAATCTGTGTCAGTTTCCACCTTCTGGCACAAAGATTTGGATAAGGGGAAACAATGGAAGTGCCGCACTATCTCTGGGCAGGTGAAGACTAAGGATAGCCTTGTCCTAACTTTAGATGAGGGTAGTGTGGATGAGATCCCCTACGTTCAGATTGAGTGGGGGTTAGAGGAGGAGGACAGCGGTGTGGGCCAGGGGAGGACTTACGCTGCTGTCGCGGCCGGAGGGAGGCCGCAAGGAGGAGGACGAGGCCAGGGCCAAGGGGGCCGGGCCTCAGGGAGCCGGTTCCAGGGCGATCAGGGGGTTGGCGGCAGAGGAGGAAACCCCCAAGCGGGAGGAAGGGGTCAAGGTCCCCCGCAAAACCGTCCTAGGAACAAGTCCCCTTATAGGGTAGGAGGATGGCACCCAGGGCTTCCTCAGGGTAGGCCTCGGGAAAGTTTGGGTCTGGACCAGGACTTATGGCAAAAGCGATTGGACCGGGGCCAGTGCATTTTCTGCGGTGACCCGGGCCATATCATTAAATACTGTCCTAAGTATAGAGAGACCTGGACGGCTGCTCAAGGGCCAAAAGGCAGCCGCCGGTAGGGGTAGCAACTGCCCCTACCATTAGGCCATGTGGGGAACATAGCGCTAGCCGACAAGAGACTCCCACACCACATGTGCCTATGGCAGAGGTTTCAGGCCGGTGTCTAGATCGTTGTCCAGAGACTGCTTGTGTTAGAGTCTCTCTAAACACCTCCCTCACAGGCGTGGCTGATGAATTGAAGGAGAGGGTGCCCGCCTGGGCCAAGATGAAGAAAGAGAATAAAGGACAACTTATATTACTAGATACAAAGATTTTTAGAGGTAGACTAGGGGCCCTAGTAGACTCAGGGGCCACCCGCAGCTATATTAGCAAGAAAGCGCTGCAGAAGTTGAAGCTGGGACTTAAAGTCCAGAAGCTAGCAGACCCTATAGTTAGTATCCTCGCAGACAATCGTACCATGGTTGTAGAGGGTTATGTAGAGGGAGTCCAGGCGTATTTTCGCCTAGAGAAAGATGGGAAAGTGGAGAAGGTTCTCCACTCCCTGACTCTCCTCGTAGAAGACAACCTCCCATTTGATATTGTTCTGGGGATGGATTGGGGAGAGGCAGCCGGGGCCACGCTCCATTTGAAGGAGCACGAGTGTAGGCTCCCTAGTTCTTCAGGCGAGGCCAAGATTGCCCGCATGTTCCATGTGTCAGGAGTAGAGAATCCCTTGGCACATTGCTGCCTTAGTGCCCCTGCATTCGCCAGATTAGTAAAGAAGGAGAAATTGGAGGAACAAGTCTTTATTGCCTATGTTAGGCCAATGACTGAGCCTACGGAAGACAAGCCGATGGACCCTGCGATTGCCAAGCTGCTGGAAGAGTTCAAGGACCTAACTGAGCCGCCGATAGGAGTGGTGCCGCAGCCCATCCAACACCGTATTGAGATAGAGCCTGGTAGTAGAACTCCTAAGGGTGCTGTGTATAGGATGTCCCCGCGGGAGTTAGAGTTGCTTCGCAAGCAGTTAGACGAGCTCCTTGAAAAGGGTTGGATTAGGCCTAGTTCCTCTCCGTTTGGAGCACCTGTTCTCTTTGTTCCTATGAAAGAGGGAGAGCTAAGGATGTGCATAGACTATAGGGGTCTGAATGCTATTACAGTGAAGAATGCTGAGCCACTGCCTAGGATAGACGATCTCTTAGATCGAGTGCAGGGGGCGAAGTATTTCTCCAAAATAGATTTGAAGTCGGATATCATCAGATAGAAGTGCATCCTGATGATCAGTATAAGACCGCCTTCCAAACTAGATATGGGCACTATGAGTTCATAGTGATGCCCTTTGGACTAACCAATGCGCCAGCTACATTCCAGCGTTGTATGAACGATTTGTTTAGGCCTTGGTTAGATAAATTTGTTGTTATCTACTTAGATGATATCTTAGTGTTTAGCAAGACCCTCCAAGAACATCAGGGTCATCTCAGGCACGTCTTGGAGAAGCTGAGGGAAGCTAACTTCAAGATCAATGCAAAGAAGTGCGATTGGGCAAAGACCCAAGTTTTGTACCTAGGCCACGTCTTAGACGGAGACGGCGTGAAACCAGAAGATTGTAAAATCGCAGCGATTAGAGATTGGCCCACGCCGCGCACACTGACAGAGTTGCGCTCGTTCCTGGGCTTAGCTAACTACTACAGGAAGTTCGTGAGGAACTTCTCCACCATCGCTGCACCCCTTCGCAAATTGTTGAGGAAAGAAACCATCTAGAAGGGGCACAAGGACTGCACGTCTGCCATGAAGAAGCTAAAGCAGGCATTGATAGAGTACCCGGTCCTTAAGGTAGCCGATCCGTCCTTGCCTTTTGTCGTCACTACGGATGCTAGCCAGTACGGCATAGGCGCGGCGTTGCAGCAAGACGATGCGGTTATAGACCCGTAGAGTTCATGTTCGCTAGGATGCCCTTAGAGAAGGTCACGACATCTACCTATGAGAGGGAACTCTACGCTCTCAGGCAAGCCTTAGAACACTGGAAGCACTACTTGCTTGGGAGGCACTTCAAAGTCTACTCCGATCATGAGACGTTAAGATGGTTAAAGACGCAGCCCAAGATGGCACCTAAGCTTACTAGGTGGGCCGCAGAGATAGATCAGTATGACTTCGAGCTCAAGCGTAGTTGCGGATGCTCTAAGTAGGAGAGCTGATTACTTTGGGGCAATAATGCATGACTTAGACATAGGGAAGGACCTGCAGCAGAAGATTAGAGAAGCCTATGCACAGGACCCTATCTACAGTGACCTCCTTAAGAAGTCAAAGAGGCCCCGGAGACTGAACCGAACTACCGCACTACCAAAGGGTTGCTCTTTGAGAAGACTAATGTATTTGACCGCCTGTGCATTCCCCGTAGTGAAGAGATTCGTAGTCTGATTATGGGAGAATGCCACGACACAGAGGGTCATTTTGGTTGGCAAAAGACTCTAGCCAATCTAATGCGCGCGTATACCTGGCCAGGGATCAAGAATGACTGCGTAGAGTATGTTCGCAGTTGTTAAGTCTGCCAGCGTAACAAGACTTCTACGCGTGCTCCGCTAGGTCTTCTCAGACCCCTGCCCATTCCGAACCAGCCGGGAGACTCAGTATCCATAGACTTCATGGACACTCAAGTCAAGAGAAGGCATGGCAAGAGCCAAGTCATGGTCATAGTTGACCGYTTTMGYAAGTACGCAGTTTTTGTTCCTTTGCCTTCAGAGGCACGTACTGATTTAGTCATACAGAGGTTCTTTGACTGTTGGGTGAGTGAGAATGGACTCCCACTGTCTATAGTTAGCGATAGAGATAGTCGCTTTACTAGCCAGAACTGGCAAGAACTCATGGGAGTATATGGATCTAAGCTGTTGATGTCGTTCGGCCGCCGTCCAGAGACTAACGGTCAGACCAGACTAACTGGGATCCTACAGCAAGTTCTGCGCATGTACATTAGGCCAGATCAGACTAACTGGGATGAGATGCTGCCTAAAGTAGCTAGTGCGTACAATAACAGCGTGCATCTGTCTACTTGCCACACTCCCAACGAACTGCACAAAGTCCTTTAGGCCCCGTAGACCCTTTGAAGGACTCAACCGGGATCAGATTCACAGATTGCCTTCCGGGACCAGGGAGTTTGCTGTATAGCACGAGAAAGAACCAGCTACTGTTGTAGAGAACCTCAGGAAGGCCCAACACAGGATGATAGAGCAAGCCAATAAGCATCGTCGCCCCTCATAGTTCCAGGTAGGCGACTTAGTCTGGGTCAGTTCTAAAGAGTTTGCACCTGAGGAAAACATCTCGCAGAAGTTACTGCCCACCTACAGAGGACCGTGGCCAGTTTTAGAAGTCAAGGGCGGCGAAGATGGACCGTCCTATGCCATAGAACTCCCAGCACACCTCCATACTTACCCAGTTTTCCATGCATCGAAGTTGTTACCTTGTCAAACAAGTGATCAGTTTCCATCCCGTAGATCGATGATCCTACCGGATATGGATGGAAGATATGACATCGATGGCATGGTGGCTGAAGATGTATTCAGAACTGGACGTAGAGGTCGTCCACAGAAACAGTACAAGGTTCATTTCAGTTATCAAGAACCGGAAGACGACCGCTGGTTTACGAGATCTGAACTTCTAGAGACAGCTCCCGATATAGTCCGGGCCTACGAAAGACAACAGAGAAGTAAAGGTCCTGCCTTGGACTGAAATTTTCTCAGAGGACCTCGAATTTAGGCCGGCGGGAGTGAAACGGTATTCACCAGTTCGCAGTAGCTTATGCAGATCCCAGGGCTTGATCCCTAGTTCCCCACCTTACCTGTGTACAGTACCGGCGTCAACCCGTAGATTTGAACCTGCTACCTGTTGTACCGCCAGTGGTACGTAGTTTTCCGTAGGTCACAGGGTAGAAGGTATTCGAACTGTAGACCTGTAGGGTAGGAGTCTAGACAGTTAGAGGTCGTAGCTGTAGACTGCCTGAAGGGTCAAGGT